AAAAATATCCAATCAAACCAGTGTAGCCAGTTTACTGAAAGATGTAAACTAGAGAAAAAATAAGAAATAGTATTTTGCTTCCACCAGTGTCTTCAACAGTGCCATGTGACACTCCCTTCCCTTGTCTTTTTTTTTTTTTTCTTTTTTTTTTTTTGAGATGGAGTTTCGCTCTGTCACCCAGGCTGGAGTGCAGTGGTGCAATCTCGGCTCTCGGCAACCTCTGCCTCCTGGGTTCAAGCGATTCTCCTGCCTCAGTCTCCCGAGGAGCTGGGATTACAGGCACATGCCACCACACCAGCTAATTTTTTTTTTTTTTTTTTTGAGATGGAGCCTCGCTCTGTCATCCAGGTTGGAGTGCAGTGGTGTGATCTCGGCTCACTGCAACCTCCACTTCCCAGGTTCAAGCCACTCTTCTGCCTCAGCCTCCCCAGTAGCTGAGACTACAGGCGTGTGCCACCACGCCTGGCTAATTTTTGGTGCTTTTAGTAGAGACGGGGTTTCACCATGTTAGCTAGGATGGTCTCTATCTCCTGACCTTGTGATCTGCCTGCCTCAGCCTCCCAAAGTGCTGGGATTACAGGCATGGGCCACATGGCTAATTTTTGTATTTTTAGTAGAGACGGGGTTTTACCATGTTGGCCAGGCTGGTCTTGAACTCCTGACCTCAGGTACCAGCTTCAGCCTCCCAAAGTGCTGGGGTTACAGGCGTGAGCCACCGCGGCCGGCCCCTTCCCTTGTCTTGACCACATCTCAAGGCAGATCCTACAGCTTTTTGGTCTCTTTCAAGTATGAAAAGGTCCAGGCTAATCTAATCTGAAACTTCTTTCTCATATCCATTTTCTAAACAGCTTTATTAAGATGAAATTACATACAATTCAACCACTTGAAGTGTTCAATTCGGGATGGTTTTTAGCATATTCACAGAGTTTTGCAACCACTGCCACAACCAATTTGGGAACATTTTTATCACACACCAAAAACATCAACAACAACAGTAACAACAACAACATCCAACTTAAAGCTTCTCTCCTTTATTGGCTCAGGGACCAGTTATTTCTAGGGAACAAAGTGTCATTCCTTTTATCATTTTTCCTTGTTACTCAATTCCTCCTTCCCCAATTCCAGGATTCGAGCAGGAAGGTGAGAACCTGGAGAAGGGGTACAAAAGTAATTTTGCTGGCTCAGGGACCACTGATGAATTTTTCAGTATGTGGGACTTTGAATGCAAAAACTGGAAAAGTTCCAAGCAAATGAGGATGGCTGGCCACTTACGAACTGGTGCTGTTTGTAATTCACTCTTGCTTGATCAAAGGCTAACCATAAAAGTTTTCAATGGGCCGGGCGCGGTGGCTCACACCTGTAATCCCAGCATTTTGGGAGGCTGAGGCAGGAGGATCACGAGGTAGGAGTTTGAGACCAGCCTGGCCAACATGGTGAAACCCTGTCTCTACTAAAAATACAAAAATTACCTGGGCATGGTGGTGTGCACCTGTAATCCCAGCTACTCCGGAGGCTGAGGCAGGAGAATCATTTAAACCCGGGAGGTGGAGGTTACAGTGAGCCGAGATTGTGCCACTGCACTCCAGCCTGGGTGACAGAGCAACACTCCGTTTTGGAGGAAAAAAAAAAAAAAAAAAAAAAAAGTTTTCAGTGTTTCAGCTGCTTTCCAAGTGGTCCAACCTGAATTCTGTCCTTCAGCAGTATAATTTCCCACTACTAGTAATGTTAAGTTTGATTACTGGGTTAAGGTGAAAACAACCAGATAGTCAATTATGACATTTTCTACTTTTTTGACTAGCAAGTAATCTATAGGGTGATATTTTGGCACTGTGGATATTCAGCTGCCATTCAACATTTTTTTTTTTTTTTTTTTTTTGAGACGGAGTCTCGCTCTGTTGCCCAGGCTGGAGTGCAGTGGCCGGATCTCTGCTCACTGCAAGCTCCGCCTCCCGGGTTCACGCCATTCTCCTGCCTCAGCCTCCCGAGTAGCTGGGACTACAGGCGCCCGCCACCTCGCCCGGCTAGTTTTTTGTATTTTTTTAGTAGAGACGGGGTTTCACCGGGTTAGCCAGGATGGTCTTGATCTCCTGACCTCGTGATCCGCCCGTCTCGGCCTTCCAAAGTGCTGGGATTACAGGCTTGAGCCACCGCGCCCGGCCTCATTCAACATTTTATCAAATGGTTTTAGCATTGGTAATCTTTGACTGATTTATTTCACTTGGAGCTAATTACAAAATTGTTATTTTCTAATTCTAAGAGAGAAAAAATGTTGCTGTGAACATTCATGTACCAACTTTTTGTGAGGACATATGTTTTCAATTCTCTGGGAGTATATACCTAGGAATGGAATTGCTGGGTCATATGGCAACTCCGTGTTTAACATTTTGAGTAATTCCCAGACTGTTTTACCAAGGAGTGGCACCATTTTACATTCCCATCAGTGGCATATGAAGGTTACAGTTCCTTCACATTCTATCCAACACTTGATATAGTCAGACTTTTGGATTACAGTAATCCTAGTGGGTATGAAGTGGTAACTCATTGTGGTTTTGATTTGCATTTTCCTAATGACTAATGATGTGCATTTTTTCATGTGCTTCTTGGTTAATAGTATACCTTCTTTGGAGAAATGGTTATCTTTTAATGTTGAATTTTAAGACTTCTTTATATATTCTAGATACAAGACCCCTATTGTACATATGATTCACAGATTTTCTTCCGAGGGTTGTCTTTTCACTTTATTGATGTCACTTTGAAGCATAAGAGTTTCCAACTTTGATAAAATCCAGTTTATCCAATGTTTTCTTTTGTCACTCATGCTTTTGATGTTATGTCTAAGATGGCTTTGCCTGACCCAAAAGTCACAAAGATTTACTTGTTTTCTTCTAAAAGGTTTTTTAGTTCTTAAATTTAGGTTATGATCCTTTGAGTTAATTTTTGCATTTGGTATAAGGTAAGGGTCCAACTTTATTCTTTGTATGTGGATATCCAGTTGTCCTAACACCATTTGTTAAAAAGACCATTCTTCCCCCCACTGAATTGTCTTGTAATCCTAGTCAAAAATCAATGGACTATACATAAGTGTTTATTTCTGGACTCTCAATTGTATTCTATTGAGCTATATAATTATCTTTATGCTAGTACCACATTGCCTTGATTACCGTAGCTTTGTGCTAAGTTTTGAAATCAGGAAGTATGTCATCCAATTTTGTTCTTCTTTTTCAAAATTGTTTGGCTATCCTGGGGCATTTGCATTTCCAGATGGATTTTAGGATGAATTTGTCAACTTTTACACAAAAAGGCAGTTCTGCTAGACTCTGTAGATCAATTGAAGAGTGCTGGAATCTTAAAAGTAGTAAGTTTACCAATCTATGAACATGGGATATCTTTTCATTTATTTCTTCATTGTTAAGTCTTTTAAAATTTCTTTCAACAATGCTTTGTAGTTTTCAGTATACTGTCTTACGTGTTTTTTTTTTGTTTTTTTTTTTTTTGAGACTGAGCCTCGCTCTGTTGCCTGGGCTGCAATGCAGTGGTGCGATCTTGGCTCACTGCAACCTCCTCCTCCCAGGTTCAGGTGATTCTCCTGTCTTAGCCTCCCAAGTAGCTGGGATTACAGGTGCCCACCACCACACCTGGCTAATTTTTCTATTTTTAATAGAGACAGGGTTTCACCATGTTGGCCAGGCTGGTCTGGAACTCCTGACCTCATATGATCCACCCGCCTCAGCCTCCCAAAATGCTCGGGTTACAGGTATGAGCCACTGCGTCTGGCCTGTCTTAAACTTCTTTGATTAAATTTATTCCCAAGCATTTTATTCTTTTTGATGCCATTATAAACTGAATTTTTATTAACTGCATTTTAGGATTGTTTGTTGTTAGTGTAATGCATTACAATTGGTTTCATATACTGATCTGTGAGTAGGAAAACTCAAAAGTGTTTTTTCTCTTCTCACAACAATCAACACAGAGCACTTTTATAACCAAATGTGGGGAGTGAGGGGTCTCCCCGACACACACCAAGCAAGCAATCGCTTCTGCAGCAGACACCAGCTCAGTGTACTCTAATTCAATCTCAACATCATCTACCTGAAAATAGCATCAGATCCCACAGGTTGAGGGCTCAGTCCCCAAGACTGTCCCCACACTTCCTAATCCCCCACCAGCCAACTTCCAACATCAATTGCAAGCCCCAAATTATTTTGCCTGTGCTTCTCACCGACCAACTATAAATATTAATTCCCACAACTCCCTGCTCAGGTTTGACCGATTTGCTGGAGTAGCTAACAGAACTCAGGGAAACATGTTTAATATAATAAACGTTTATTATAGCTTTTTTTTTTTTTTTTTTTTGAGACAGAGTCACTCCGTTACCTAGGCTGGAGTGCAGTGGCGTGATCTCAGCTCTCTGCAACCTCCACTTCCCAGGTTCAAACTATTCTCCTGCCTCAGCCTCCTGAGTGGCTGTGATTATAGGTGTGCAACACCACGCTTGGCTAATTTTTTTTTTTTTTCTTTGCATTTTTACTAGAGACGGGGTTTTGTTAGCCAGGCTGGTCTTGAACTCCTGACCTCAAGTGATCTACCCGCCTCGGGCTCCCAAAGTGCTGGGATTACAGGCATAAGCTACTGTGCCCAGCCTACAAGGGGCTTTTTTTTTTCCTTTTCAACTTTTATTTTAGAATCACGGGATATACGTGCAGGTTTGTTACAAAGGTATATTGCAAGATGCTGAGCTTTGGGGTATGACTAAACCCATCACCTAGGTAGTTAGTATAGTACCCAATAGGTAGTTTTTCAGCCCTTCCCTCTTTCCTTCTCTACTCACTCTAGTAGTCCTCAGTGTCTATTGCTCCCATCTTTATGTCCACATGTAGCCAAAGTTTCACTTCCACTTATAAGTGAGAACATGTGGTATTTGGTTTTCTGTGTCTGCATCAGTTTGCCACCAAAAAAAAACCAAAAAAAAAAAACCAAAAAAAAAAAAGCCACAAAACACATTTATTAGTAAGGAAAAAATGCCACAAAATACATTTATTAGTCAGGAAGAGAATCATGCATCAAGATTTAAGGCAGAAAGGGAAAAGCTAACTCTACTGTTTTGTGCAAATGCAGTCAGGTTTATCATCAGGACAGCCCTTATCTATACAGCAGCTAACCCCTGAGCCTTGAAGGGAAAAGATAAATACCAGCTGCCAGTCTTTTGACTGTACAAGAGCGCCTGAACAATCAGAACCCTTTTTCTGGATTGGTCCAACCAATGATGTTGTGGTTAGGATATACTGGCACCAGGCTTCTTGTACAGGCTGCAGAACTGTGAGCCAAATAAAATTTATTTTCAAGTTACCAGGCCTCAGGCATTTCTTTATAGCAACATGAATGAACTAAGAAAGACAAATGGTACCAAGGAGAGGGTGGTTGCTATAAAGATACTTGAAAATGTGGAAGTGGCTTTGGAACTGGGTAATGGGCAAAAGTTGGAAGAGTTTAGAAGGTTTGATTTCATGGACTCACAGCTGTAAGGAACTTACCTTGAGTCTCAGATGAGGCTTTGGACTTTTGAATTGATGCTAGAACAAGTTCAGACTTTGGGGATGGGATGATTATATTCTGCAATGTGAGAAGAACATGAGATTGGGGGTCAGGGGCAGAATACTATGGTTTGGATATGGTTTGCTCGACCCCTACCAAGTCTCATGTTGAAATCTGATCCCTAATGTTAGAGGTAGGGGCTTAATGGGAGATATTTGGGTCAAGGCAGCATATTCTTCATGCATGTCTTGGTGCTGTCCTTGCTACTGAGCGAGTTTTCACCCTATTAGTTTCCCCAGATTGATTGCTAAAAAAAGCAATCAAGGGGCACCTCTTCCCCCTTCTCTTGCTTGTGTTGTTCATGCCATGTAATCTGTACATTCTGGCTCCCCTTTGCTTTCTGCCATGAATGGAAGCTTCCTGAGGCCCTCATCAGAAGCAGATGCTGGTGCCATGCATCTTGTACAGTATGGAGACAGAAGTGACTTTATTTTAAATGCGAATCCACCTGGCTAACCCTGAGTCAAGGAACGCCTCCAAAATGTTTAGTTGATGTATTACTCTTTATGTAGAAACACCTATTCGTTACAAATTTCCTCCAAAACAATCCTTGTTGCTGCAGAAATCGTACACTGTGATTCCTGTAGCCACCTATACATTCTTATCAGACCACCTATACTTTTTCCTAAGATATAATCCCTGGGTCTGGGGGGTTATGGGGCAGAGATCTACCTGTCTTGCAGCCACCCAAGACCATGCTTCCGTCTGTAAATTCCCTCAATAAACCACACAATACTGACAAATTGGATTTGTCTACCCTGTTTTCTCAACTCCTTCTGGCTTTGAATATATGGCCCTTTCATCAAACATGTAGCTTGCAGAACTGTGAACCAAATAAAACCTCTTTTCTTTATAAATTACCCAGCCACAGGTATTCCTTTATAGCAACACAAATGGACTAAGAGAGACACTTTGTCCCTTAAGAGTACCTTGCCAATAAGGGACTATCTTTTAAAGTTCTTTTGATATTGAACAATGCCCCTGGCCATGCAGAACCACAAGAGTTCAACCCTGAAGGCGTCAAACACAATGTCTCTAATTTAGCCTTGAGATCAAGGGGTCATAAGGACCTTTAAGGATCCTTACATATAGTCCTCTGTGAAAAGGATTGTCAACACTATGGAAGAGAACCCTGATAGAACATCATGAAAATCCGAAGGTATTACATTACTGACGAAGTCACTGTTGTTAACAGAAAAACCCATGAAAGTCATCAGGCTCAAAACAAATTCCTGCTAGAGAAAACTGTCCAGATGTTGTGCATGACTTCACAAGATTTAACTTAAGTTTAGGCGGAGTCAAAAGTTGTATATAAGTTTTAGACTGTATAAGGGGGTCAATACTCCTAATGCCTTCATTGTTTGGGAATTAGCTGTACTTGCCAGTGCTATGTTGTAATCTTAACTGGTACTTCTCCAAAGACAGAAGAATATATTCCCTCTCTAGGCTTCTTCCACATTTTCCTCTCTCCAGCCACTGTCCTCATTATACCAAAAAATGTCCAAAGATTAATATACATTTAATATAATTATTTGTAAGGCAGGAAAAGATGTAAATACCATCCCATTTCAATATTTGGATTTCTTAAAACACCTGTATTATTTTTGTACTTCTGGATAATGTTCACATGATGTATTCCTTAATATGACACATTTTAAGCAAAATAAGTTCACATTAAATCCATTTTATATCACATTTTTACTGCTTTCGCTTTAACTATGACTACGCCTTTAACCATGACTTTCTCTCCTGTCAGTACCTTATCCTAATTCAGTGTTTCTTGACTATTATGTCTAAGGAGATTTTTTGGTCACCCCTTTTCCCTAAACACTCCTCTCTCCTGAAATTTTAATACCATAGATACACTGTATGTTTGTTATGGACTGTATGTACATCTGTGCTTTACACATAAAGAGGGGTTTGGATCATAATCCCCAAAGACACAATCCTGAATGCCATAATCCTAAATGTTGAAATCCTGAAAGATCAGAGTCCCTAAAATCTAGGCTGGGTGTGGTGGTTCAAGTCTGTAATCCCAGCACTTTGGGAGGCTGAGCCAGGTAGATCACGAGGCCAGGAGTTTCAGACCAACCTGGCCAATATGGCGAAACTTCATCTCTACTAAAAATATAAAAAATTAGTAGGGAGTGGTGGCGCACACCTGTAATCCCAGTTACTCAGGAGGCTGAGGTAGGAGAATCACTTGAATCCGGGAGGCAGAGGTTGCAGGGAGCCAAGATTGGGCCAGTGCACTCCAACCTGGATGACAGAGTGAGACTCTGTCTCAAAAATAAATAAATAATAAATAAAGGCAAGACTCTTCATATAAACATTCATTAGTACACAATCTGTGCATGTTATTCTAAGGCTTCCTGACCAAAGGGAAGCTCTTTATGCTTCAGTTACTCTCCTAAGATAGGAACAACAGTACTATTACCAGTGTGTTGTTTGTGTAAAATGACATTATAAATATGAAAGTGACAGATACAGGTACTGATGAACTTTACCATTTGGGACTTGGTCATAGGAAAAATATTTCATCACTAGAATCTGTCTCTCCCATCTGTGACTTCAGCAGAAAGAAACTGCTGCTTTGATAACTTTCCTAACTCCACTCTAGTTTTTACTATAGGTCTTTGAAAATTGTCAGATGGATCTTAGAATTAAGCCATTTCTTTCTGTTTACAGAAGAAGTAACCTGTTGAATGTCAGGGTTCATGTCTGTCTTTGTAAGTCTAGGAACTTTGATATCCTGCTTCCCAAGTCTGGGAATTTTCACACTGCACCATTTTACTCTGTACCCTTAACATCTTGCCCAAAGCAGCATATCCAATCAGCACATAATAAAAAGAGAAAGTGAAGAAAAAAATGAGACAACATTTTTCCTTTCATACTTGTAGGCTACCGACTGTATTTAGTGCAAGAATAAGAGACTATACTATAAGAGTGGACATTTTTATTTTACAAATGAAAAAGCAAAATACTGCTTTGAATTGACTCTTAAGTCACACTCTGAATTCATACCATGCAGTTAAATTTTTCCAGTTCATCAATTAATTCCACTGAAAACAAGACTAAGCTTCTGTGTATGGAAGAAGCATAGAAAAGCTTTAACCACGATGACAATCGCTGGTAAGACTAAGCAAAGGAAGTGACTGTATCTCTGTTTCAAATTCTTTTTCTTCTTGGGCACGTTTTCCATGGCCATGTGAAACTTAAAACAAAGATTGCAACTGTCCTGGCCAGAGAAGGTGGTTAAAGCTGTGTCACAGAGAATTGCAGATTATACTTCTACCTTCATCCTGTGATATCCATGTCTCTCAGAGAGGTCTGGCTAAACCAGGATATTCTTTGCAATAGCATTCAAAGTCCTTACTTTGGTCACATCTGTTACCTTTAGGGAATATTCCGAGCAAGAAAGTGAGGCTCCCATGGCAACAGATGAATTTCTGTGATAGAAATAATAAAGGAACAGATAATGATATGTTATTAAATGAGCCCTCCTACTGCCGCTTCATTTTATAGACTACTTCATGATACAAGGGTAAGTCAAGTATGCTAGACTACTATATTCCATAATTTTCATCAATTAATTACTTGAAATATCCAGCAGCTGAATCCACCAGACAGTATACTCGATTTTATATCAGGAATTGTTAAGTTCTAAGGCTCTTGCTTCTTTTTTTTTTTTTTTTTTTTTAATTACAGGCGCGTATCACCACGCCCAGCTAATTTTTTTGTATTTTTAGTACAGATGGGGTTTCATCATGCTGGCCAGGCTGGTCTTGTTTATATCAGGAATTGTTAAGTTCTAAAGTTCTTGCTTCTTTTTTTTTTCTTTTTTTTTTTTTTTTAAATTACAGGCGCGTATCACCATGCCCAGCTAATTTTTTTGTATTTTTAGTACAGATGGGGTTTCGCCATGCTGGCCAGGCTGGTCTTGAACTCCTGACCTCAAGTGATCCACCCGCCTTGGCCTCCCAAAGTGCTGAGATTACAGGCCTAAGCCACCTTGCCCAGCCATCTTACTTCTTTTACATTGTGTTTTTCCCAATTTATAAACAGAAACATTCAACTACTATTAAATTGTAAGAGTCCTCTTAAGTATTTAAAAAACCCCATATAATAGTCACAATTTCCTAATGGTAATATAATTTCAAAATAACTGAAAACAGAGAACAAATGTGAGGGAAGACTAAGCACTAAAAGTAGGAGGGAGAAAAATGACTATGACTCTTCCATCCTTATACCATAGTTATTAACTTTGCTACAGGAAATCCTAGGCGAGTGGGGCACATGTGCATATCTGACTCATTGGAAGCTTAACCGTGGAATTTGTTTACTATTAACTGGTCAAAGTTCAGCAATGCCTTCACAAGGCAAGGTTCACCTATGTTCAAAGAGCCTGTTTATTTAAGACAGGACACGAACCATTTTAGAAATGTTTTTCAACTATAAAAACAACTATAATACTTATGTAGTAGTCACAACATTCCATTGATTAATCATGCCCCCATCTAAAGTTTTTCTGTTTGGGAGAAAGTAAAAATTAATCTCATCCTTCTTATTTGAATTGTAGAATACATTTTTACCGAAACTTCATTCCTGAGTCTCTAGTAGACCGAGCAGAACAGTGGAATTCTGTAGCACCTGAACCCTCAAGGATCCTTTGTAGATTTCTGTCTGTTATACCACCTCCTGTTGGAAAGAATAAGTAACACATTAAGTAAAATAGAATTTTGCATAAAATTTAAGGAATAATGACTGCTTACTTTACTTGGAATCACCAAACTAAATTTCTCATTGATTCAAAAATTAGTCTCTCCCTACCAAGTTAGAATGAGATTAGAAAAGTGATAAAAGATATATAGGCTACAGACTCTGGGGAAGTACCATTAAGGTTATAGAACATGTATGATAGAATCTTATCTGTCCATTGGCTAATACAACAATGCTATCCCTGCTTGCCCCTCAATTAAAGCAAAATCAAATTAAAAAGAAAGGTAAGGACAGGTTTGAGGAAAAAAAAATCTACAAAAGCACAACCTCAGAGATGTGCCTGAATGAGAACCTCTAAGGTTCTGTCTCTAGCCCTGGATGTAAAGACTACATTGACTTCATTGGAAACAGGAATAATGCAAAGTATTATACAGGTTATTAGTTACGATATCAGCTTTATACTTCATATCACAGAAGAATCTGTACTTTATTAAAACTGTACCACCAAATGTTTTATGACATTTGTTTTGATGAACAATCTTTTAAATATTTATAAAGAATCACATTCTGAATTGATACCAGTATATCTTAAATATGAAATTAGTTTATTCATCTTTATATCCTTATCTCCCTATAGGATGTACTCAATATTTTAAAACTATGTACTTTGTATCTCAAGCCATTAAAGATGCTGAAATAACCTATCTTTACACACTTTTTCAGACTCATTAACTTGTCTTTTTTTCCTTAGTGGTACAGTAATATCACTGAGTCTTAAGAAACAGAGAAAAGGCTAGGTGTAGTGGCTCACACCCATAATCCCAACACTTTGGGAGCCCGAGGCAGGAGGATCACTTGAGTTCAAGAGTTTGAGACCAGCCTGGGCAACATGGTGAAATTTCGTCTCTACAAAAACATACAAAAATTAGCTGGACGTGGTGGCGGGTGCCTGTAGACCCCGCTATTCAAGAGGCTGAGGTAGGAGGATCGCTTGAACCTGGGAGGCGGAGGCTGCAGTAAGCTGAGACTGCACCACTGCACCATAGCCTGGGTGACACAGTGAGACCCTGTCTCAGAAAAAAAAGAAAGAAATAGAAAAAATACAGGCTGAGTAGATTTAGACTGAAATCCTGGCTTTATCACCGTAGCTCTTCACAGCTACGTGATCTTAGACAATTATTTAAATCCACTGACCTCAACTTTTTCGCCAATAAAAGAGGGATAATATTGCCTACCTCACAAGCTTATTGTAAGGATTAAGAGACAAATATATTATTTCCTTCTATTCCTTCTAACAAATAACAAAACATTTGGCTACTGAAACACAGGTTGCTCAGTTATCAGCAACTTGAGTACATAAGTAATACATCTTTCCAGACTCAAACTAACACAGCTCTGTGGTTAAAAAGGATCCCACAGAACTAGTTTAATATTCTTCTCTTTATAGATGAAGAAACCAGGGTCTAAATATGTTGTAGGCTTCATTATGAAAGTTCCTAGAGGGCAACTACCTCTTTATATTTCTCAATGATGAATACTTATTAGGCATTCAGAATGACTTACCTAGGAGTTCTTACTTGCTGGTACTTATTCACATGAAATTGTAATACATTTATTTATAAGTCTATCCTGTGAGCTCCTCAAGTAGGATTACTTTGTTTTCATATCTATCACACAATTAGCATATAATATATATAACTGTCATATAATTAACATTTGCTTGATAAGGTTTGTTAAAGAAATTAATCACAAATATTTTTGTATTTAACATCTTTTGACCTGAGTCTGCTTCTTGAGAAAGTGGTTTCTTGTGTAGCTTTGCATCCCAAGTAATGCCTTGCACATAGCTGATAACAATTGCATATTAAACAAAGGTACTCTTAATGTCAACAATTGTCTAAGTATTAGTTGTCAAGACTACATATATTTAGTGCTAAATGGAAAAGCATCACACTCAGAAAGTCTTTTCAACATTCCTTGATTAACCAAAAAGGACCACAATTTGACAGATAATATATACCTTCTCTTTGCTCATGTTTCAAGGACTTGTTACAGGTCAAAAGCCTTCCTAAATATTTGACAATACCCCTTATATGGCCCTTTTTTTTTTTTTTTTTTTTTTTTTTTTTGACACAGAGTCTCTCTCTGTTGCCCAGGCTGGAGTGCAGTGGTGCGATCATAGCTTACTGCAGCCTTGACCTCAGGGCTCAAGAAATCCTCCCACCTCAGCCTCCAGACTAGCTGGGACTTCAGGAGCACGCCACCATGCCCAACTGATTTTTTTACATTTTGGTAAAGATGGTGTCTCACTATATTGCCCAGGTTCGCAGCCTCTTTTTAAAAGTTACTCTTTACCTAGGTCAGTCTTGATATCACTAGTAGTGAGATGACGAGAGACTGAATACCTTCTGATGTGATGTCATATGATGTAATACGCAGAATCACCCATAAAGTACTCTTACAAAAAATGTTTAAGCAGTCTATTCAAGCCTTATGATTTAAC